AGACTGCTGGGATTATAGGTGCGTACCGCCACACCCAACCGATATGACTCTTCTTTTTTTTTCATTTTGGTTTTTGTCTTTTTTGAGACAGTGTCTTGCTCTGCAGTTCAGACTGGCCTTGAGCTCACTTTGTAGCCCAGGCTGGCCTCAATCTCTCAACCATCCTCCTGCCTCAGCCTCCTGAGTGCTGGGATTACAGGCATGCACCACCACGTCCTGCTTACGTGATTCTTTCTGAGGGAAGTTTGCAAAGGACATGAGGGAGAGGACTAACACATCTCTTCCACAAGACATGGTCATTGCCAGCAGCACCAGCTGCCGCTCTCCTTAATGTCACCCACCAGGGACAAGAGCTGACTTGCTTCAGTCGCCAGCACTGTGGCACCTTCACGTTTGCCTGTGGGGCCCATGTTGGTGCTTTGGCTCTTGGTACCCTTGGCCATTTCCTAAGGGACCGTCATCCTTTTACATGTGGCGGCGTCTCGCTCCAAGGCTGAAGGCCAACCCGGCCCACCTGGATGGCTCTCGAGGCCTAGTGGGGAGAGGCAGCGGCCAGCTCATGGGAATGGTGTTTGCCCAATGAAGGGGTGGAATTTTTTCCTAGAATAAGAATGGAACAGCTGATGGCCATCACCCAGGAGGAAACGGAGAACCTGCGGCAACGGGAGATCGCCTGTGAGTCATGGGACCGGGCGGACGAGGGCCCTGAAAGAGCGCTGGGCTGCCGGGTGGCGCGTGGCGGCCCTCTCTCTGTTGGGACCTGTGGAGGAGCCCGGGCCTCCAGTCAGGTGAAGCTTGGCTTCAGAGTCCCAGTGAGGACACCAGCCCTATGTCCCTGGGGCGTTACAGTCGTTCGCTTTCCTGAGCCTCAGTTTTCTTATCTATAGAACCAGGAAGCTGGGTGTAGCAGCGCACACCTGTAATCCCCGCACTCCGCACTCGGGAGGCTGAGGCAGGACCCCTGTGAGTTCAAGGCCAGCCTGGGCTGTATAGTTCAGTGCCAGCCTGGACTGCATAGCGAGACCCTGTCTGCAAACAAGCAAACAAACAGACCAACAGATGTTCACAGAGGTGTTTGAGCAAGAATGAACACAAAGGTGTTCACTGAAGCGTCATGTAATAAGTTTTTTGAAAAAGTCCAACTCCCTGGTACAGAAAATTATCTAAGTAGACGTTGGTTATCTGGGTACCGAAGTCACCTGCAGCCACTGCTGTCACACCATCCTTCTGACTTGGGCAAATGGTCATAAAAAGCGCAGGGAACCATGTTTAGTACGGGAACCATGTTTATTTATTTTGAGCACACCTGGCAAATCCTTGCTTTCAGTTCTTTCATTTTAATCTTTCAAAATCCATAATGTGCATAAAATTCTTTAGAAGAACACGTATCAAAACAGGATTTCTGGGTGACACTGTTGTAGATTTTGCGTATGCTGGTCAGTGTTTATGCTTATCGGCCTTCCAAGCCCAGGTTGCTTTTCTCTTTGAAAGTCACCCTTTTTAGCTGGGTGTAGTGGTGCATTGGTATAATGCCAGCGCTTGGGAGGCTGAGGCAGGAGAATCACTGTGAATTCAAGGCCAGCTGCTGGTTTGTAAGGATGACTGTCAGGCAGGTGAGGGCAGAGCCTCGAGGCCTGTCCTGGGCCCTGGCAGCAGCGGCCCTGTTCTCAGCGTCCTTGCCCCTGTCCGCAGCCGCCATGCAGCAGATGCTGACCGAGAGCTGCAAGAGCCGGCTCATCCAGATGGCCTACGAGTCCCAGAGGCAGAGCCTGGTGCAGCAGGCCTGTTCCAGGTAAGGTAAGGAAGACGAGTCCCAGGTGAGGGTGGGGTGCGGGTGTGGGCCCCGGATGGGTGAGAGCCGGAAGCTGGAACCCCTACCTGGGCCACTCCGGACTCGGCCACACTGCAGGGACGAGAGGTGTTCGGCCTTCCTCATTTTTCTAGCTGGACCCCAGGTTCCGGTGTGGGACAGTGACAAAGTAATGACAGTCATTCCTGTTTATGGGGGCAGGTACTGGGGCTCAAACCCCAGGCCTTCCCACTGAGCTACATCCCCAGCCATTTTTATTTTGAGACGGGGTCTCACTAAGTCGCTGATACTTGCCCAGTCTGGGCTTAAACTTGTGATCCTCCTGCCTCAGCCTCCCAAAGCAGTGGGATTACAGGCATGGGCCACCACACCCAGGTCCTTTTTAAATTTTTTATTTCATTTTTATTATTATTATTATTATTTAGGTTTTTCTTTTTGAGACAGGGTCTCGCTATGCAGTTCAGCCTGGCCTTGAGCTCACTTTTGTAGCCCAGGCTGGCCTCAAACTCGAAACGATCCTCCTGCCACAGCCTCCCAATTGCTGGGATTACAGGCGTGTGCCACCATGCCCAGCTAAATCTGTAATTTTAAAATGGTCTTGTTAAGTCACTTGCCGAGTATGGGTTCAAACTTGCGATCTTCCTGCCTCAATTTTCCAGAGTGCTGGGATTACTGATGTGTGCCCCTGCCTTGACCTTTAAATTTCTATCAGAAAAATCTGGTAGCTACCTATAGAATTATTAGAGGATTTGATGAGCATAACCCTACCACTTCAGGCCCAACACGTAACTATTAGCAGAAAACAAAAGCAGGACTGTACCAGGATCACAGGTTTGTACCAGAATGCACGGCCTTGTCTGGAGGGCCGAGCGCAGGTCACGGCCAGGGTGACAGTGCCTGTCCTGGCTGGCTGAGGGGCTCACAGGTCAAGAGCGTTCCTTCCATGCAGGTGGCTGTTGCGGAGGGAATTCAGGAGCTGACTGGGAGGCCGGGAGGTTCTCTGTGCCCGCTTCCTCCCTACCACCCTCTTTCTGGGTCCATGAGACTCAGACAAACTCCTCATCTCCCATCAGGGCCACAGTCCCCACGGGGCTCCATCAGTATTGTAGGGTTTTTGTTTTTTGAGACAGGGTCTCGCTATGTAATCCAGGCTGACCTTGAACTCACTGTGTAGCTCGTGCTGCCTGGAGCTCCCGAGCTCCGAGCTCCTGGTGGTCCTCCTGCCTCAGCCTCCTGAGAGCTGGGATAACAGGTGTGCGCCACCGCGCCTGACTCCCATCAGCACTGTTGAATGTGGTCTCCTCCGAGGCAGCGGAACACACAGCGGCTCTGGCACGGGCAGTGTGCGGAGCGAATGAACGTGCTCTCTCCCTGCAGCATGGCTGAGATGGACGAGCGTTTCCAGCAGATCCTGGCGTGGCAGCAGATGGACCAAAACAAAGCCATCAGCCAGATCCTGCAGGAGGTGAGCCCCGGCAGCGCAGCAGCACCAGGAGGCCTCCTGACCTTTGGGTGTGGGAACCACCAGGGCCAGAGGGCAGGAGAGCGTGGGGACCTCTGGTCACAGGGTCCACCCTGAGTGGGGCTTCTGCCCCTCTCTCCTCACAGTCCCCTGCTCTGCCCTCTGCCCTCTGCCCTCTGCTGGCCTCCCCCTGAGCCTGCATCTTGCAGGTACCTGGGAGAGCCTGGAGCAGCTATATCCGGGACCCTGGCGATCCCTTCAAATCTTTGGGTCTCACTGCATAGTTCAGGCTGGCTTTGAGCTATTTTATTTTATTTTATTTTTTGTCTTTTTGAGACAGGGTCTCACTATGCAGTTCAGGGTGGCCTTGAGCTCACTTTGTAGCCCAGGCTGGTCTCGAACGTGCAACGATCCTCCTGCCTGAGCCTCCCAAGTGCTGGGATTACAGGCGTGCACCACCACACCTGGCTTATTTTATTTTATTTTTTTATTTTATTTTTTGGTACTGGAAATTGAACTCAGGACCTCATGCTTAACAGGCAGGCTCTGTGCCACTGAGCTGTATCCCCGGCCCTGGCCTAGAACTCATGGGTTTCCCACTTAAGGCATTTTTGAGGGAGATCTTGTTTCCCCAGCTGGCCTGAGGGGAAAGCCAGAGAAGGGACCTACACTGAGCGGCCTGATCTGGTGTCTGTTGCAGAGCTCGATGCAAAAGGCGGCCTTCGAGGCCCTGCAGGTGAAGAGAGACCGGATGCACCGGCAGATCAGGAACCAGGTGAGAGATGGGATGGGTCTGGGCCTGCCTTGCGGGGCTGCCTGTCGGGGCGGCATCCACTGGGGCTGGGATCTTTGTGCCGGACTTTGCTTGCAGGCTGCTGGTGGCTCCCCGGGCCCGGCCAGAGTCCCACCCAGCAAGTGTGGCCCATACGCACCGTTTCTGTGACCCCAGGGTCTGGGGACAGGGCAGGGCTGTGCGTGGCCGTGACCGCTCGGTGGCGACTGTGCCCAGCAGGGCTCCCTCACTGGGCAGACTCAGCCTTGGGCCTGCAGCGGCTCAGGCTGGACAGGAGCTTGTCGGGGGCAGACTGGATCCCCACTGGGGTGGGCAGGGGCCACCCAGATCCTCCACCGGTCCTGACGTCTGCCATGGGGCAACCTCGGCCTGGGAGGAGGGGCTGTGCTCCTGTCCAGACGCTGCTGTGGCCTCAGGAGCTGTCCATGTCGCTCGGGGCCAGTGGTCGGAGGCAGCGCGGGCTTTCTGGGCACGGGAAGGCTCATGACGGCGTGTCCGGCACACTTGGAACTCCACATTGTTGCATGGGTTTTGTTTTTTTTTTATTTATTCTTTTCTTTTTGACCACAGCCAACTTGCCTTTTTATTTCCCTCTTTAATTTCAATCTCACTTTGCCAGACATGAAGCTCATTCCTCTGACCAGGGGCTGATAGGGTCAGAGGGACTCAGGGACACAAGGAGCTTGTGGGACGAGGGTGGAAAAGTCACTGGCTGTGGGCTGTGACCCCCCAGACACCCCAAGAGTGAGTGCTGACCCCCGGACCAGCTCTTGCCTTCTGCGCCCGGAGCCGGGGCTTCCCTGGGGACTGTCTCCCGCCCCTGCTCTGTGTCCTTGCTCAAGTCTCTTCGTCTCTGTGAGCCTCAGTTTCCCTGCCTGTACAGTGGAGGCAGTAGGAAAAACTGAGGAAAGGATGTAGACAGAGCTGGGCATAGTGGTACTCACCCTAATCCAAGCACTCAGGAGGCTGAGGCAGGAGGATCACCTTGAGAGTTCAAGGCCAGCCTGAGCTGTAGTAGTGAGGCCAACACAGGTCTAGCACTCTGCAGATGCTCAATAAATACCCGCTGCTGCTGTTAGTACTCAGCTCTTTCGGTTCCCCTCTGCTGCCTGAGACAGCCCCCTGGAGGCAGCATGAGAGTCCGGCAGGCAGCGGCTCCCTGGTAACCTTGGGACTGTCGCTGGCCCTGCCCTGGAAGGGGGCCTGTCTTTAACCCTGGTGTCAGCTCTCAGTCCGCGTGACTGACCAAGACAAGTCTGTCCGTGTCCCCAGGTGCCTGGAGCCTTGGAATAGCCAATTCTTTTTCCACCCCCCTTGCGAGGGCCCCAGGCCCACACGGTCCCCTCAGCCCAGGGCCTCCCCAGAAAGCTTTCTTAGACCCCAGCCGGCTGGAACCACGGTCAGCGCGAATAAATTCCCCGTCTCGTCTTCTGTTTAGATTAGGTTAATAGAAACTGAGTTATTGCAGCTGACACAGCTGGAGTTAAAGAGGAAGTCCCTGGACACTGAGGCGCTGCAGGTACGTGGGGCTCCCGGCCGCCGCCCCGCCTCCCCACCCCAGCTCAGGGCTCGCCAGGGCTCGCCAGCGCCCAGGAGGCCGGTGCTAGGGAGAGGGTCAGAGGAAGGAGGGCTTCACTGCCGAGGCCCCCTCTTCCTCCCTGGTCACCCCTCCATCTCTCATCTTCGCGGGGAGCGCTGGCTGCCAAGCTCCACCCATTAAGCCATGCTTCTGGGCTGCTGGTTGCACCCTTGGGCCGACGTCTCTGTGGAGGGACCTTTTGGGGACCACAAGGAAGTCTGGGGGGGAAGGGCGGCAGCGTCTCTGCGATCCGGGTCCTGGTCACAGACACGTGGGGACAGCTGTGTGTGGCCTTGGCAGGTGGAGGGCGTGGCCTCTCCCTTCCCTGGACCTCAGACCCCCCCAGATGCATGCCAAGGGCGGGATGGTGCGGCCAGATGTGAGGACAGGTGCCGTGCCAGGCTCTGAGCAGAGCCTCGTCGCTGTCCCCGCGTCCGTGTTCAGGGGGTCTCAATGTCTGCGGCCTGGGTTGTGCTGTCACACGTGCTGTGTGACCTTGGGCATCACTTCGCTTCCTGCGGGTAGGCGAGATCATGGAGCCTGTGTCCTCAGACAGTTGGGGAAGGGGAGGTGACCAAGGCCCGCAGTAAGCTGCAAAGCAGTCTTCCAAGATGAGGGACCGGGGTTACCCGAGGCTGCCACCACCAGCCTGCTACCGGGGCCTTGTGGGTGAGAGGGCAGGTGGCCGTGGACACCGACGTGGACTCCCCCTGTGGGTGGCACCCTGTCACCTGCGTGGGGCTCTGCTCCAGCCCTCCCTGCTGTGTGCTTCTGCCCGTGTGCCCGGTGGTCACCGAGACGCTGCTTGTCATTTCTTTGGTTTGATGTTTCTCACCGCTCCATTGTCATCAGCTGCGAGGGTCCCGTGCCTGGCCTTTAGGGCACACGCAGGGGAGATGCCAGCTTTGGAGGAAGGGGGCAGGATGCCGAGGCAGAGGGGCCTCTGGGCCTTGTTGCCCAACAGCCTAGAGGCGCAGGCCGAGCTAAGAACCCGGCGAGCACGACCCCGGGCTGTGCGTGTCTCGGGCCTGCCACTGCGCGTGCGGACTCCGGTGCCCGCGCTGCGCTCACGGCGGCCCTGGGCGGGGTCTTGTGTTGCAGGAGGTGGTCGCCGAGCAGCGCTGGGTGCTCAGCTCCCTGCTGCAGCAGCTGCTCAAAGAGAAGAAGCAGCGGGAGGAAGAACTCAGGGAACTCCTGGTATGTGTCAGCCTCTGGGCAGGCGCGGGCTCACGACTGCTGAGTTTATCTACCGCTAACACTTGGATGTGTGCTGTAAACCCTGATGTCTATTTCTAGGTATTTGTACGTCTCCCTTTTCCCCCATAGTGAGATCGAACCCAGAGCTGCCCTTCCACTGAATTACATCCCCAGCTCCTTTTTCTTTCTTTCTTTTTTTTGAGACAAGGTTTTGCTAAGTTGCCTAGGTGAGATCTGAACTTGTGATTCTCCTGCCTCAGCTTTCCTCGGTGCTGGGATAACATATGCCTTTTATCTTTTTAAAATTAATTAATTAATTAATTGATTTTTTGAGACAGGGTCTCACTTTGTAGTTGGGGCTGGCCTTGAACTCACCATGTAGCTCAGGCTAGCCTAAAACTTGCAGTGATCCTCCTGCCTCAGCCTCCTTCAGTGCTGAGATTACAAGTAGACACCACCATAGTTCGAATGTCCATGGCTTTTCAATATAAAATGGTGTACACCCTGTCTGGGTGTGGTGATGCCCATCTGTAGTCCAGCACCTCTGGAGGCTGAGCAGGAAGATCACTTGAGCTCTCAAATTCAGGACCAACCTGGGCAACACATTGAGACCACATCTCAAAAAAAAAAAAAAAAAAAAAAAACACTTCCTGGCATGGTGGCACAGGCCTATAATCCCAGCTGCTGAGGCAAACCAATCTGGAATAGCAAGTTTGAGGCCAGCCTGGGCAAGACCTTACCTCAACATAAATGTTAAGAAGGGCTGGGGATCTAGCTCAGCCCTCCCAGCATTCAACCCCATTACCACCAAAAAGAAGAATAAAAGGCTGAGACGGAGGCTCCTAGCGCACACCAGGCCCTGAGAAGGCCTTGAGAAGGCGGGTGCCCCTCGACGCACTGCCCTTTTCCACCTCCTGGCGGTGTTTTTCCCATGGCCGGACCGTGGTGCTGGTCCCGTGGACTGCTGCAGGTGTTAGCCCTTGTGAGCAAGGCTCTCGCAGAGTGTCTGTGGCTGAGGATTTGGGAGCAGCTTGAGCGCCTCTTCTAGGAGCTGGCCTCCCATGTCCAGGACAGGCCACCAGGCCAGCTTTTGGTTTGTTTGTTTTTTTTTCCAGTACCTGGAATCGAACTCACGACCTCGCGCTTGCCAGGCAGGCGCTGTGCCACTGAGTTAAATCCCCAGCCCCCAGGCCGGCTTTTGGCAAGAGCGGTCCCACACTCACATGCACCCAGCTGGCATTGAGCCTGGCACCTCAAGGTGGCTGGGCCCCTGTGGGTGTCTCCCCCAGGCCAACCAGCCAGGGAAGAGACCAGGTCGCTTCTGTGTGGTACTGAAGGCCCAAAACGTTTGGGGCGTGCAAGTTGAGAAGGGCAAGACCGGCCCCTCCCGAAGCCCAGCAGGGGCCCAGTGGCAAATTCGTGCCCCTAGAAGTTGGCCGCTCCTCCCACACGGGAGACTGGTTTGCAGTTGTGCGGGCAGCCAGACGCCATGGCCTTGCGCTCCTGCGTGGGGAGGAAGCAGCTCCTCGGCAGAGGTCGGGGTCACGGGTGCAGGAAGAAGGTGCGCCCGCAGCACACGAGGGCCACACAGGAGCAGGCAGCCGCTCAGCCCGGTCCAGGGGGCACTGACCGCCAAGGGCAGCTGGGTCCAGAGAGGCTGCAGCGATGGCAGCCCGAGCCCCGCTCCCCAGCCATGATCTTGGAGTCAGGAGGAAATAAAGTGACCGCTTCCACGCACGGCCCAGGGCGGAGCACAGCGATCTGCAGACCAGTGGCAGCTGCTGGGATCACTGCTGTGGCTGGTGGTGACCCTGGTCCTGGCCTCATCCCGGCCCTCCATGAATATTCACTGATGGCAGAAGGACGGGCTCGCAGCCCCTGGTGCAGTCACCATCCTTCAGCCTCGCCCCCTAGCGCAGCCTGCTCAGAAGCCAGGGGTGACCCGAGAACCCTGTGGCACCACTGCCCTGAGCTCTGTGGAGGACAGAGGTGGCCATGGACAGCTTCACTGTCCCACAAGCAGACGATAGCAGCCCTTCCAGGCCCAGGGGCACCCCCTGCCCAGGGGTGTGGCTTCGGCAGCTCTGTGCCCTGCCCTGAGGTCATGCATGGCACAGTGGGCGCAGTGATGCTTCCCAGTAGCCCGGTGTCTCAGGACACTGAGCGGTGAGACATGCAGCGGGAGCCCCCTAAGTGACACATGGAGCCAGAGGAGCTGCTGCTGCACCGCAGTTGCGCTTTCCCCATGTGTAGCTGACGTCGCCTGGTTCTGTTCTTGGCAGATGGAGTTAGAAACCAAAAGCGAGACCAAGCAGGAGAACTACTGGCTCATTCAGTACCAGCGGCTCTTGAACCAGAAGCCATTGTCCTTGCGGCTGCAGGTGAGGACCTGGTGCCCAGCACTCCAGGTCACCGACTTCGTCTTCCTGACAACCCACGTGCCGGGTCTGTGCAGGGACAGAAAGGAGAGCGAGCGGTGGGTGTGGCACGTGTGCTTGCACACACTCCCTCCTCCTCCCCACACCTCGAGCACACACTTCTAAAATTTATAAGAATTGAGGTCGAGGGGATGGTGCAGTCCTATAACCCCAGCGCTCGGGAGGCTGAGGCAGGAGGAGTTCGTTAGGAGTTCGAGGCCAGCCTGAGTTACACAGTGAGACCCTGTCTCAAAATTAAAAAATCGAATCATTCTCTTCATACCATTTTGGCAACACGTGCCGGGCAGTTCTCCAAGCGGTCTACACAGCTCTCCACTGTCATTTCAGTAACTGCATCCTGCCTGGCGTGTGGGAGAACGCTGATTTGTTTCAGAGTTCTTTCTTGGTGGGTAAAGTGGCCCAATATGTTCACTTTTACGGATTGGAAAGCAGTGACTGCCCACGTGCACCTGCTTCTTTGCACCTGTACACAGGAAAAATCAAAAGGCCACCTCCGAGCCTGGGGGGGAATGCACTGAATTCAAACCCTGTGCTTCCCCCGGAAACAGTCAACGGGTCTTTTTGTATTTTGCTTTCCCCCGGAGGCACCCCTGACCTTTCTCTGGGCCCGTCTTGCAGGAAGAGGGCATGGAGCGCCAGCTGGTGGCCCTCCTGGTGGAGCTGTCGGCCGAGCACTACCTGCCTATCCTCGCCCACCACCGCATCTCTCTGGACATGCTGAGCCAGATGAGTCCCGAGGACCTGGCCAAGGTGGGCCGTGGCAGCCCCTGGGGCGAGGGGAGGGGAGCTAGCCTGGCCGTGGGGTGTCTTGCTTTGCTTGGGTTTGCAGTAAGGCCTGGCACGACCCGGTGGCCCAGGTCCTCCTCGTGTCCGATGGCCAGAACACCTACGCATCTGCCCCGCCCCTCTGTGTGCCCCCCCATGCCTGAAGACCCCAGGAGTGTGGGTCCTGTTGAACCCACACAGCCCATTTGCTCATATTGGGTCTTCAAACTGTAAGATCAGCTGGACGTGGTAGCACACACCTGTAGCATTTGGGAGGCTGAGACAGGCGGATCTCCAAGAGTTTGAGGCCAGCCTGGGCTACATAGTAAGACCCTGTCCCCGCAAAACCAAAACAAACTATAGGATCAAGACAGGTCCCGGGGATGATCTGGCCCGGCCCGGCTCCCACCCTGCCGCCCAGTTTTACAGTCACCACCACAGTGCTGACTCAGCCCTGGCTGTGCTCTGGAAGTAAACTTACTCTGCAAGTAAACTCCAACTGAATTACTTCATCGGTGCTTCGACATAGGCTGAGGACGATGGCATGCCGTGCCGGGCTCCCTGCTAAGCCGCGTCTGCTCCCTACCCCATCAAAGGGTCCCAGCAGTGCCCGGAGGGAGGACCCACCTTCCCATCAGGCAACGGCCCCTCCGAGGGCCGAGGGCCGAGGGGCTCAGTGACTGTCAGCAGCTGGGCCTCAGCGGCCTCTGCCCTTCCTCCCGCGGCCACACGAACTGCCTGTGGGGGCCGGGGTGATGTTAGGCTGCATGGGAGACACCGTAGCAGTTTCTGACACTGGATACCCGGCGCTGTTAGTGCTGGTTCCCTCTGGGCCTCAGTTTCCCCTCCTGTGCCCAGGCCTGCGTTGTGCTGAGCCAAAGGTGCCGGGGCTGGCGGGGAGGCTGTGGGCTGGGCCGGCCCCGCCTCACCCACAGTGTGCTCCCCTTACACCGCCGCAGGTGGGCGTCTCGGAGGCCGGGCTACAGCATGAGATCCTCCAGAGAGCCCGGGAGCTGCGGGACGTGGCCAGGGCCCAGCCAGGTACTGACCCCAGCGCCGCCCCTCGGCGAGGGCCAGCTGAGTGTGTCGGTGCTGGTCAGGCCCGGCAGGGGCTGCTGGCCCCAGGGCAGAGCAACTCCTGGCAGCTGAGGGCTCCTCATTCTGTCCGGGCTCCCGCATCCCCTGACGGGCAGCCGCCTGTCCCCTCTGTCTCTGCCCACCCACAACCGAGACAGACGCTCCCCCCGCAGCCCAGGGCTCCCATTCTGCGGCTCCACCACTAGATGTCCGCGTAGCCCCAGGAGAGTGACATCCTCTCAGCCTCGGATCCCTCAGCTCTGGAAGTGACAAGCCCCACCACAGGGGGCGGTGGAGGGTCAGGGATAAGAGGTCCCCACCAGCAGAGGCAGGAGACCCAGTGCCTGGCTCCCTCTCTAGGGCAGGCAGTGCCAGGTTGGCTTCTAGGGGCCGGAAAGTCGGGGATGCGCCCTTGGCTCAGCTGGTCCTTCTGATCCCCACAGAGCTGAAACCCCCCAAGGAAGAGGCCCTCGGGGCCCCAGAGCCACCTGTAGCAGAGCCAGTGCGGCCGTCCGCACCCCCCGCGGAGCCGGAGGTGCAGGTCTCGGAGTGCGTTGTGTGCCTGGAGCGGGAGGTAAGTGGTGGGGTGCAGGGCCCGGTTACGGACTGCACTTGCCGACGCATGGGTGGTTTCCAGCCAGTTTGCTCTAGTTACATAAATACATCTGTCAGTTATTTTGGACAATACAGCAAAATAAAAAATATAGGAAGCCGAGGTAACCTTTGGTCCCATGACCCAAATGTGATCACCACTAACACCATCTCCTGTACCGTTTTCCTTTTTTTTAATAAGGATTTTTCCCTCCAGTTTAATAAATATAATGGAGAAATTTCTCATTTCATGAAATATCAACAACATGCTTTCCCTTTATGAAGACTATTATTTTAAGCCGGGCATGGTGATGCACACCTATAATCCCAGCACCCAGGAGGCTGAGGCAGGAGGATTCCTGTGAGTTCAAGGCCAGCCTGAACTGCACAGCAAGACCCTGTTTTTAAAAACCAAATAGGGCCGGGGATATAGCTCAGTGGCACAAGCGCCTCCTTGGCAAGCGCAAGATCCTGAGTTTGATTCCTGGTACCAAAAAAATAAATAAAAATAAATTAAAAGACCAAATAAATAAATAAATAAGTCATTAAAAATTGTAAAGTGGACACATACTGCAAAATGTAAACATAGCAGTCTATAAGTTACAAATCCTACCTTGCCTCCACCTTGGGACGCACTTAGAAACGCAGGGTAGCAGCAGTTTAATGATTCTCCAGTCTTTCAGGGACACGGGGACTGCCTCGTGCCCAGGGACCAGCTGTTGTACACGTGGCCGGGCCCCTGCTCTCAGGTGCTGTAGTTGGCTCCATTTCTTAGTCTTCCAGACGGCTTTGAACAGTTGGGAGCACATCCTTAATGGTTTCCTAATAGGGGGAAATGCTATAGCAAAGCCTTTACATCAGGGTAGAGGCATTTTAAACCAGCACTTCAAGGTTTGGGCAAATGCCTATGCAACACACTATAAACAGGGCGGTGGGACTATAGCTCTTGGTTACCTGATGTGACCAAGGCCCTGGGTTCCACCCCCCGCACCAGAAGAAGCTAGTGTGAGGCTTTGGGGCACAGCAGAGGGGGTGCTTGAACACCGAGGCCCCCTCAGCTGCCACACCAGATGCGGGAAGTGTCTGGGCCGGTGGCCAGGCAATGAGTGTGCACAGAATTAACCCCAGCTTTACAGGAGAAGGGGCCTGGCTGTGCATGCCTGTGATCCCAGCACTCGGGAGGCTGAGGAAGGAGCATTGCAAATTTAAGCCCAGCCTGGGCAATGTAGCAAGACCCTGTCTTAAAATTGTTTTTTAAGAAAGGGCTGGTAGCTGGGCGTGGTGGCGCACGCCTGTAATCCCAGCACTCAGGAGGCTGAGGCAGGAGGATCGTTGTGAGTTCGAGACCAGCCTGGGCTACAAAGTGAGCTCAAGGCCAATCTGACCTGCACAGCGAGATCCTGTCTCAAAAAGACCAAAGATAAAATAAAATTTAAAAAGGCTAGGAATGTGGCTTAGTGTGATGCCCCTAGATTCAACTGCCAGTACTGAAAAAAAAGGAAGGAAGGAAAGGAGGGGAGGGGAGGGGAATAAGAAAGTTAGAAAGTTGGGGCGTTATGGGTGTTTGTGTTATTCACGAAGCACAGAGAAATCGGCGAAAGCTGGCACGTATTCTTGTGGTGTTTGCCTCCTGCTGACTGCTCCACCAGGTTTTTAAGACAAACAGCCCAGGCCTGGCTCAGCCGCGTCCCTGGGAGAGCCCAGCCCTGGCCCACATGCTGCGCTGTCCCCTCCCCGCAGGCGCAGACCGTCTTCCTTCCCTGTGGCCACGTCTGCTGCTGCCAGCAGTGCTGCCAGCCCCTGCGCACCTGCCCACTGTGCCGCCAGGACATCGCCCAGAGCCTCCGGATCTACCACAGCAGCTGAGCGCAGTGCCCCGCGCTGCCTGGGGCCGGCTCTCCGGGCATCTCCCTGCCATCCACATCCAGGCCAGGCGCCTGACCCTGGCACAGCCACTCTGAACACTGGGCAGGAAGACAGGCGGCTCTCGGCAGTGGGGGAGGGTCAGGGTGTGGCGTGTGCCCCGCTGTGCCCGGCCTGGGGTAGGGGGACAGCCCGGGGCGGGCGAGCTGTGCAGGCCTGGCCCCCAACCTCCCTGCTGCTCCTGCACGTGCCCGCCCACATCTGTGCCCCTCGCCCACACAGCCGGACGCAAAGCAGGAACGTCAATAAATCCATCGGCACGCTCCTTCCCTGGCTCATCTGAGGGTCTCCTGCGGGCAGAGGGCAGGAGGCTGGGAAGGCAGAGCCCCTCTGGAAGGCAAAGCTGTCCAACCCCCTTTCCAGGCGGGGGACGGGGCCCCTGACCCGCAAGCTGGAGGTGCCCTGTGGACCCACACTGCATCTGCACTGTCGTTATCCTAGACGGGTGAGGCGAGGCGGAGGTGGGCACATGCCCAGACCTCGGAACAGGGATGTGGCAGTGTGGGTTTGGAGTCCGGAAGCTTCCCGGGCAGAATCCCAGCAGCGGTGTGTACCTGTGCGCGAGGGAGACGTGCATGTTCACCTCAGGCAGCCTCGCTCGAGACACCTGGGCTCGCGCCAGCCTCCACGCCTGTTTCCCGCCTGTCCAGTATGGTACCTTCAGGCTGGCGGCCACCAGGGGGCGCGCAGTGCTCCCCTGAGGGACGGCGTCCCTATGGATGCGTTGGGGAGAGGCGCCCTTGGGTGGCGGAGATCTCACCCTGGCCCTCAGTTCCCCCACCTCACTGGAACTGTCACTCCTGCAGCCTAGAAGTTGGGTGAATGCCCTTCTTGGTGTGAGCCCTGCTGGCCCGGGCAGGGGCTGGGTGCCTCCACCCACACCTTCCTGGGCTCTGCCTGGCCTACAGGGGAGACTGAGGCCTGAAGCAGGCCAGGCCACTTTGTGGAGCGCAGTGGCTTATGGGTCTTCGCATCTCGCTAGGGAGCAAGGACCTTTGCCACCCCCTCATGTAGCTGAGGAGCTCCAGGCTGAGATTCGCCCCCGACAACAGGACACCAGTGGGATCCCCAGCCTCGGGCCCCAAGCCGTGTTCTGCACCTCAGTGCTGTTGAGGGAGATGGACAGGTGACCAGGGACACCAGTAGGGACATGTGTCACCCACTGACAAGGCACACTGGTGACAGGGGCTGCCCGTCCCAGCTGCAGGGCCCTCAGCGTAACCTCAGCCAAGGTGTCCCACACCCCTGGCCCCCAATGTAAACACAGTTCAGTTCTCACCAAATGCCAGCGCGGGATCTGATCTGGCAAGCGCTGGTGTGACTGCATCCAGCTTTGGGTGGACACCCAGGGCCTTGACCGGCTGTAAGGCCCTGCTGTCTCCCTGCCTCTCAGCCCTGCTGAGCAGCAGCCTGTCCAGGTTGGGCAGAGATTACCCCAAGTGGCCATCAGAAGCAGAGTCACCCACAGTTCCATGACCTTGGACAGTCCCTTTCTCTCTGAGCGTCAGTCTCTTCTCTTCAGTAAAGTGGGATAAGAACTCAGATCGTGGATCCAGGCCCGGTGGCACACACCTATAATCCTAGCTCAGGACACTGAGACAGGACTGCTGTGAGTTCAAGGCCAGCCTGGGCTACATAGTGAGACCCTGTCTCAAACAAACAAAACTGAGCCTGTGAACCAGTGGCTGTATTCAGAATTGTCCTGTATAGTCGCTGGCCCAGGCATGCCCCCTCCCGACTCCCAGCCTGCCCACCCCCAGCACACAAGAACAACTTTAAATAAAGCGTTTATTGATTAGCAGAAGCTTGAACAGTTTGCATAGTATTTGTAATACCATATCCAGGAAGGCTGGCAGAAACCCCCAAGGCACTGGAGAACGTCAGGAGAGGTTAGTGATGCAGCCGGCACGGGGCCGGGGGCGCTGGGGGTCCCTGAGCACCAGCTGCCGTCCTGTGGGTGTAAGGCCCCTGCCCTGGGGAGCAGGTGTGCAGCCCAGAAGACGCTGAGCCAGGGGTACTGGACCCCGGGTGTGGGCCGCCACACGGGGGCTACCTCAGCTTGACCCTAGGGCTCAGAACAGGCAGCGAGGAAGGGGCGCCCAGCCCAAGGTGACTCCTGAAGGCATCTTCACAGAGGGGCCGAGAACTCTCAGGGCCGGGTGACTCGAGGCTCAGAGGCAGCGGAGGCCCCGCCCCCTCCCTCGCCCTCGGGAGCCCCATCCAGGCCCCTCGGAGGTGACCGCAAGTGGCACCGGGCCTCGGGGCAACCTGCCCGCCCAGAGTGTGAGCCAAGACGCACGGGGCAGGCAAGGAGCCCCGGGGCCACGCCGGATCCCAGGCCAGCAAGCGGGCGGGCGGGACGGGGAGGAACAGGTGCACGCAGCGCGCCCAGGCCCCCACTTCCAAACACACTCACGCTGCCGGCCCAGCCTCTAGCCTCCCTCACACACTCCCGACCCTCGTCCCTCAGACACTTCTCGCCACAGACCACCAGCACATTCCGGGTCTTTGTTCCGTCCTCAGCCCGCAGCCCCGCCCCTCAGGGACAGTGCCACACCCAGCCTCCCCCCAGCCTGGTGACCCCTCGTCCATCCCCCTCAGCCGGGCAGGGCACAGTCAGTGTCCTGGGGAGCTAGCCTAGGGCGGCAGGGAGGGGGCAGGACGGAAATGGGGCCACCAGGCTCTGCCCTCCTCCACTGCCCCGCTCCCAGTGCACCCCCGGTGAGATGAGGGAACTCGCCAGCTTCCCAGACTTACGGTGCCCCACGTGCACCCATCCTTCTCCCTCGGGGGATGGCAAGACCCACAGGGGAGGGAAACGGAGGTGCCAGAAGCAAGGCGGGATCGAGGAGCCCCCAGCCCCCCAACCCCCAGCACGAAGAGAAAGCCTGGAGACCAGACCCTGCATCCAAGATCAGCCCACAAGGGAAGACGGGGAGCAGCCCGGGGGGGGGGGGGCTACACCCAGTAAAGTGACTCAGTGGGTACAGTGTGGGGTGCCCCTGCCATGGCCCCGAGCCCGCTGGTGCCTCAGAGGAAGCGGCCACTCAGGCCAGCTGCCTAGAACTCCGTCCGCACCTCCGAGCTGTCCTCGGTGGTGTGGACGGGAGCGCGGCCACCGGGGCTGGACACCTGCTCCCCAGTCTCCTGGTTAGTGGGGCTGGGGGGCTCAAGGTCCACAGCCTTCCCAGGCAGGAGATGCTGGGGCGGCGAGCCGGGTGGCGAGGGCATCTCGGGGACTGCCTCAGGCTGGGGGCGCTCCAGGGCCGGGGCCCCGTTGAGCAGGGGGTCGGCGGGCAGGGGGCTCTCAGCCTGCAGATCCTGGGATAGCAGGCCTCGGATCTCAGTGACACTGTCCGGGGACGCCAGTGATGGCTCTGAGCCCTCCTCAAGGGGCAGCCCCGCCTCCTCGTCCTGGACCACGGACACCACCTGCTTGGCGCGCCGGCGCTTCTCCGAGAGGGTGACCCCTTCCGGGGTCACAGGGCTGGGGCTGCCCCCGCTGCCGCCGTCAGTGTACTCCTGGCCCCAGTCGATGGGAGCGCCCTCTCCCAGCAGGTGCAGGTTGGGGTCGCTGTTGTGCAGGACCACGCTGTCCCGGTACAGGTTGTGCTTCCGCTGCACGGCCGCCTCCTTCACGGCTGCAGACCACACGGCGGGTTAGGACGCACGGTGGGTGCCGAGGGCCCTGCCACCCACCCCTGGAGTGGCCTGGATTGTGGCTCCAGCCGCCCAGAGCCCAGGCTGCTAACCACCATGTCCCTCTGAGGCTCCCAGCAAAGCCAAAAGGAAACAGGCACAGAGAGGCAGCCAGAGCGGCTCCCCAGGGGCTACACGGCTACCAGTGTCTCCGCTCAGCCATGGGGCGGGGGAGTGGGGATAGTTTTATTTTCCCTTGGTGTTTTTGTTTTTGTGTTTGCTTTAGAGACGGTCTCGCTATGTTGCCCAGGCTGGCCTCAAACTATCAGCGCTCCTCCTGCCTCAGCCTCCCGAGTGCTGGGATTACGGGTGTGTGCTACCATGCCTGGGCTTTTGGGCCTTCCTTTGTCCCTTCGCTGCCACTACCCAGCCCCGGCCCTCCAGGCCCGCGCGGCCCCTCACCCTGCAGAATGTCCTTCATGACGGTCTGCAGCACCACCTCCTCGTAAGTGTTTTCTACCAGGAGAAACCTGGCGAAGTCCTCGAAGATCAGCTCCTGGAAGCGGGGCAGCTCCTGAGGGGAACAGCAGGGGGCAGCAGACGCGGGTCAGGGCAGGGCGCGAGCGGCTCCGCGGGGCCGGGAGGCTGCGGCGGAGTGGGGTGGGCCGCTCACCGACTTGCAGGTGGGCGCCAGCTTCTTAAGCAGGAAGGGGATGGTGATCTGCAGCAGCGCCTCCCGGAAGAACCGCTTGCGCACCGTGCTGCTGTCGTAGTCGTACTTCTGCGCGACACGGGAGGGGACCCTGGGTCAGCAGCTCGAGGCCGCGTGGGCAGCAGGGCACTGGCACCCGCCCCCGCAGGCCCCGCAGCCAGGGCCGGGCTCACCTTGAGCACGCGCTCCAGGATGCGCTGGATGGACTTGCACAGCTCCTCCCGCGTGGGCCCCTTCCCCAGCTCCTGGTGCAGCAGCGTCTCGAAGGTGTACACCGCGTTGTCCATTTGCTGCGGGAACACGCGGGCGCAGGACACCGCTCGAGTGACCGCAGCCCCTTGCTGCGTGCCGCCGAGGGGGTCTCCAGCCAGCCCCACCCGGCCTGTCGGGGAGGAGTGGGGGGCGGTCTGCGTGCCCCTCGCTCACGCGGGTCGCAGTCTACTGTGGGCACAGGAAGGGGCGGGGAGCCCGGGGAGGTGGGAGGGGCCGCACGTCCGGGCAGGGCCAGCCGCGAAAGGTGGGGGGCGGAGCCCACCTCGCGCATGAGGATCTGGGCGCGCTGCTTGAACACGGAGGTGCTGGACACGTCGAAGCGCTGCTGCAGCCCGTCGAGCCGCAGCGGCTCCATCTTCTCATAGCAGCCCTGCATCTTCAGGGGGTGGTACGCCAGCTGGGACAGCTTCTCCATGTACTGCAGGCGGCGGGGACACACGGACCTGAGCTGGGGCCACCCGGGGGCAGAGCAGCCCACAGACCCACACCTGCCCGAGCCTGGCACTGGCCACCAGGAGTGGGCTCCTGGGTTGGTGCCCACCAAGTAAACCCGGAAGGCAGCGCTGAAGGGAGGCCTCCTCATCCCCTCTGGGGTGCTGCGTGACCTCGGGCAGGTCACTGTCCCCCTCTGGGCCTTGGCGTCCTCAGCCCAAAATCGGGAGGTGGCTTTTCATGACATCTAACGACCTTGCCATTTCTCAATTTCTATGATTCTCATTGTCCGTAGGCTCCCAAATTTGAAGTGGAGAGGAGGTGGCTGGGATATGGGATGGATTCTATACCTACCCGACAGCTATGTGGGCATTGGAAATGGGGACTGTGGAATGAGACTCACTCCAAGAACCAGGTAACCGAGGACAAGTGAGGCAGACGGGCAGTCTCCATCCGTAGGGTACCTGACTCATGCTTTTTTGTTGGTTTTTGTTTTTTGAGACAGGGTCTCACTATATATTCCAAGCCGGCCTTGAACTCACTTTTAGCCCAGCCTGGCCTCAAACTCACAGCAATCAATCATCCTGCCTCAGCCTCCTGAGTCCTGGGATTACAGGTGTGTGCCACCACATCCAGCTTAAAGTCTTGTATTTTAGCTTCCCAGGGAGTTAATTTTCCCCCTTTTGCCTAACTGCTGGCCCCCACCAGGACTTGGGACAGCTCTGTCCTGGTCTATCTCCATGGGATCTTTGCTTATAGCTCCCCCTCCCTCCACCAGTACCGGGGATTGAACCCAGGACCTTCCTACTAAGCTACGTCCCCAGGCTTTTTCGTATTTTTTGAGTCAGGGTATCGCTAAGTTGCCCACACTAGGCTTGCACTTGCGATCCTCCTGCCTCAGCCTCTCAGAGAGCTGGAATCCTAGCCTGCTTACAGGTTCTGCCTGGGCAGCTCCCCTGCATGCCCCTGGGGAAGCAGACCCAGGCCCAGCGTACCTCGCCCAGCTTGTCGATGCCGCCCTCATTGATCACGTTCAGGTTCATGTCGGTGACCTCCTTGAAGAAGACGTCCCGCACCTCGGTGAAGCCCTGGCTGGTGGGCACCATGAGGGCCTCGAGGATGGACGGGATGTAGGGCTGGACGTGGTTCCGCACACACACCTCCGCCTTGGGCAGGATAAACGCTGCACCCCAAGGAGAGGTCAGGGGGGCTCCTGCCCAGCTGGTGGCACCCAGGGCTACCCCAGGCTCCCGTGTCAGAGGCACATGAACTACGCTGTTTTTACAGAAAGCCCTTGGCGGCGGCTACATTCCCAGGCTCAATGATTGCAGAGGAAGAGCTGGCCAAGACAACAAACCCACACGGTAGAAATACCAGGGGATTCCGAGATTGGACCGGAGGTATTTCTGATACTGACAGGAAGAAACTAAGAAAACTGCTGTTCGAAAGGGAATGTAGCTCAGGAATACAGCCCTTCCTAGCATGCACAGGGCTGTGCATTGGTTTTGTTTTTGAGACAGGGTCTCACTATGCAGTTCATGCTGGCCTTGAACTCATTATGTAGCCCAGGCTGGCCTTGAACTCACAGTGATCCTCCTGCCTCAGCCTCCCGAGTGCTGAGATCACAGGCGTGGGCCACCACACCAGGCCTGGATTCTGATTTTCAAAAATGATCAACAAGCACAGACTGTGCAGCAAACAGAAAGGAGGCCTGGTGGACCCCTGGGGCGCTGTGGCCGAGCCCCTCAGCGGCCGGGGGCCACAGGTGCGCACTGGCGCCTACCTCGGATCTTGCTGGCCAGGTGCTCCTTGGAGGTGATGATCTGGTCCATGTCCGTGCGGATGGTCGCCTCCATGGCGGGCCGGGCCCGCTGCAGCTTAGACAGCGTCTCCTCGAAGAGCACCTTGACCTGCTCATACACCATGCGGTACGCAGAGTCCGAGATCTGCGGCGGGCATCGGTGTCACGTGGGGCTGAGGGTTCGGCCCCCGTCCCGCATCCCACCTGGTCCCAGCCCACCTGGATCCACTGTCGCTGCCGCTCCTGCAGCTTGCCCTTCAGCCGTGGTGCAAGCTCTGCCTTCAGCTCGGGGCCCAACTCCTCCATCACCAGGTTGCTCAGGATCTAGGACCAAGAGGCCCAAGCCAGGTTTGCTGGAGGCCAGCGGCCTGCTTCTCTCTGTATCCTGGCCTGGCCCCTCCAGCCCCTCTCCTCTGCTTTGGCCCTTTGGCTCCAGGTACTCCAGGGTGTCAGGCTTACCTGCCTGGGCGCCCCACAGGCCCCTCAGATGGACTCAGAGGCCTGGGCCCAGGCCCTTTGCACATGGCGGCCTCCCATCTCCAACACTCCATACACTTCCATTCTGGCTGCACGTGTGTGTGTGTGTGTGTGTTTTCATTTGTTCTGATACAGAGTCTCACTACATAGATCAGGTTGGCCTCATGGCATGCCTCCTCCTGGTGATTCTTGTGGCAGTCCTGCCTCAGTCTCCCTCCCGAGTGCTGAGATTACAGGCATGCGCCAGCACACTCCGCTTGAATGGCAGCTTCTCCTTGGAGTCAGAGAGCTCCTGGGGGCCAGGGCTGCGTGTGTACACGGCACCCGGCCCAGCGAGGTGCTCAGCGGGTGAGTGAACCAAGTAACGAGGCGTGGAGCTCCCCTGCCCCCCGCTGTCCAGTACGAGCTCATCGTCGCCCCCAGCCCGTCTGCAGCCCCTGCCCGGCCTCACCTGCACCTCGTTCCCGCACAGCATCTCCCAGGTGCCGTACAGCTCCTTGGCCTGGCGGTACATGCGGATGGCGTCCGTGAAGGCCGGGCCCTCCACCTTGGAGTCCTCAGGAATGCCTGGCCCGCAGGGAGGGACAGAGGAGGTCAGCCGGCCGAGCAGACCCTGGCCACATCAGCGTGCCCAGGCCACCCCCGCGGGAGCTCCAGCGATCACAGCAGCAGTGCCCCCACCCAGCCTGCTGCTCCAGACCCCAGAGCAGGCCAGCCTTGAGGTCACAGCCACAGCCACAGGGGCCTCAGGTTCTCTCTGGCAGCAGCAACAGGGACCCCAGCCGGGCCTCACCTGTGTGCCGGGGGCTCCCTGGGCTACGGTGGAGACATGCTGGGAGCCGTGAAGTCTGAAGCGCAGGGAGCTCAGGACCCCTGTGGGTCCTTCTTTTTTTTTTTTCTTTTCCTTCTTTTGTTTTTTTGATGGTTTTGGTACCGGGGCTTGAACCCAGGGCCTGCCCACTGAGCTACATGCCCAGCCTTTTTTTTCTTTTTAATGTATTTTTTATTTTAAGACAGGGTCTTGCTGAGTTGCCCAAGCTGGGCTCAGACTGGTACTTCTCCGGCCTCAGCCTCGCAGAGGCAGGCAGGTCCCCACCATGACATTTTCTGCCAGGAACTAATAGAAACTAGACAGCCCTGCCAGCTCTGGGTCTGTCTTGTCCTAGTGACCATGTCCGTTCCTGGTACAAATGCTAGGACTTTACTGAAGAATAAATGTGGCCAAGCATGGTGGCACATGCCTATAATCCCAGCACACTCAGGAGGCTGAGGCAGGAAGACTGATTGCCTTGAGTGCAAGGCCAACCTGGACTACCAAAGCCAACCAAGGCCAACTAGTGAGACCCTGTCTCAAAAAGCACAAAATAAAAAAACCTAAATGGCGCTGGGAGCATAGCTCAGCAGGAGAGCTCAGGTCTAGGACCAGGCCCTGGGTTCCAACCCTGGCACAGTGATTTTTTAAAAAGGAAGGTTTTTTTTTTTACTGATAATGACTAGAAAAATGCCCTGTCTGTGGTCACTGGTGGTGTCAGGGGCCTGTGCTGGGGGAGGCATGAGTGAGACATGGGCCCCAGGCCGAGACATGGGCGAGCAGGCCGTGGCGGAAGCTGCAACAACCTGCCTGTGTGGGGCAGCTCCCTGGCCGTGCGCCTGGCCGCGGTGTCCCCAGAGCCCAGGGAAGGGAAGCTGCAGCGGCGCCTCGCGAACCCCAGCGCCCACTGCCACGACGCCGGGCTGAGGGGAGAAAGCCCCTCGCGGGAGGGGCGGGCCACAGCACTCGGCCTTCGCCAGAGCAGAGTGACAAGACGGCAAACCGAGGCCCGTCGCCCGTCCCAGCGCTGGCTGGCGCCCTTGCCACCCTCCACGCACGTGGAAGCCCCATGTGTACGTATTTGTTTTTTGAGACAGGATCTCCGTATGTAGTTCTGGCTGGCCTCAAACTCCCAGTGATCCTCCTGCCTCAGCCTGCTGAGATGACAGGGGTGCACCACCACGCTCCACTCTCCCTAATCTTTAGTTCATCACAATGGAGCAGCATTCAGACAGACACCAGGACCAGAGCTAAGCCCAGTCCGACTGGGGTCCTTATCAGAAGGGGAACTCAGTCAGGCTCTTTCTCTCTCTCTCTGTTCTGGGGATTGAGCCCAGGGGTGCTCTCCTCCTCTTCCTCCTCCTCCTCCTCCTCCTCCTCTACTACTGAGCTGCATGCCTGGTCCTTTTTCAAGTTTTATATGAGACAGGGTCTTGTCATGTTGCCCAGATTGGCCTTAAACTTGTGATCCTCCTGCCTCAGCCTCCTGAGTGGCTGTGGTTACAGATGTGCACACACCATATACACAGCTACAAGGGGAAATTTCTCGGGCCCCGTGGTACACCCAGTTACGGGGTTGGGGTGGGGGGCTGAGGCAGGAGGATCGCTGAAGCCCAGAAGTCTGAGGTCAGCAGGAGTCAACAGGGTGAGGTCCAATCTCAATACATAAATAAATAAATAAGAAAACAAACCAAACCCCAGGTGCTCATAGAGAGATGTCCCCAACAATAACCTGACCAGGACTTGCAGCCTGCAGACCTGGGAGAAAGTTAAATCTGAGTCCTACAAGCCGTCCAGACTGCAAGCTCTGAGACATGGCTCAGCCAGATGAAGAAACCGGAAACCTCGGCTCCCCGAGGCTCCCAGACACACGGCTGGGGAGTGGCAGAACTGGAGCTTGAACCCAAGGCCCGGAGAATCAGGCCAGACCCAGAGACCTTGTGACACAGCAAGCTCCCCCCTCAGTCCGGGAGGCAGGCAGGAGGGGCTTCGGCCAGCTGGGGGAGCCCCGACCCCTCCGCCCCACTGCCCCTGGGCCCGAGCCCCGCCAGTGCCCCGCTGCCTCCCGCCACCCCCTGTGGCCCCAGGAATGCAGGATGCAGGGCCTGGGCGGAGCTGGCGGCCACCCAGCTCGGCTCCCTCCGCCCGCCCCCACTTCCTGGCCGCCCCAGGAGCCAGCAGTTCCAGCTCCACACATTCCAGGCCCAGGTTCTCACGCCTCGTCTGAAACCAGCTTGTCAGCTCCGCCTGGGGGCCGGCCCTCCCCTCCCCGCCCCGCCCCGCCCGGCGGCCTCCGCTCCTTCCCGCAGTACCCCAGGCCCCAGGGCTGCCAAGGCCTCCCGGAACAGCACCCACCATCATCCATGTCGTGGGTGGTGAGGGGGTGGCTCCCGCCCACCCGGCCCTGCCCGCACACCCTCCCCACCCGGCCTGGGGTCCCTCAACCCACCAGGCCAGGTCAGCCACCCTCGGTTTCCAGGGCCCGGGTCGGGGAGGGAGGAGGACGCCCAGGCCGGGGAGCAGAGCCCCAGCCCCAGCCCCAGGGACCTGGGAACAGGAGGCCCTTTGTGGGCAGCAGGGCAGGGCCCAGCCCAGGTGGCAGGGGTGGGCCGGACGGAAGACTGGCAGATTCCACATGGGCAGAGGTAGCTTGGAGAGGTGGGGTGAGCTGGCTTCCACCCAGGCGCCCACACCGCCCCTCGCCGTGGAGAGGAGCTGTGCTGGAGGGAGAGGGGAGGGCAGGCGCAGGGATCGCCCTCTGCCTCCTGAGACCAAGTACTACGGGCAGAAGGATCCCACCCCCACCCCAGCACAGGGCCTGGGCAGGTCCTCTTCTTCCCTAGCCTCCTGAGTCATGATGGAAAAATACAGTGTATATGTAAATTTTTTTAAATTACAGTAAAAGATACATTGCCATGAATGCCCTCAGACCCCCACCCCCACTTTGAACACACTTATCCCACTGTCCTTGCCACTTTCTGAAGCAGTTCTGGAAGTCCTCTTTTGCGTCTTTAGTTCTGCTGTCCTGTCTGCCTCAATGTTCTTTTTATCTTTTCTTTCTTTCTTTTTTTTTTTTTTTGGACAAGGGTCTCCCTATGTAGCTCAGGCTGGCCTCAAACTCACAGGGATCTTCCTGCCTCAGCCTCCCAAGTGCTGGGATTACAGGCAGGCACCAACATGCCCAGCTTGATGTCCTGAATTGATCCAAAACAATTACCTTTCTTAGTCATTTTGACTTTGGGGAAGAGCCAGAAGTCACACAGTGCCCGACCTGATGAGTGAGGCAGATGAGGACACACTGTAACGTTCTTACGAGCCTGCCTTTCCCTTGCGGGGCGCCCAGCAGCAACATGCACCTATTTCTCTTTAATCACACCTCATAAAAACACTGCCGAACAAGGACTTCCAGAAGTGCTTCAGAAAGTGGCCAGGACAATGGCATTAGCACATTCAAAGCAAGCGGGAGGGTTCTGAGGGAGGTTTGTGGCAACGCGTCCTTTCCTATGATAACTTTTATTTATTTATTTATTTATTTTGGTTTTTCTCCAGTACCGGCAACCGAACTCACGACCTTGCGCTTGCCAGGCAGGCGC